GAGATATGCAGCTTGCATTTTCATTCTGCATCTCACCAGTAGAAAAATATAAATGTAAAAGAATAGAAACATCGCATTTTCTGGACTTTATTTGTATGCAATTAAATCTGTACCAAGCAAGGTGGTTTAGGAGAATGGGTGGAGCCGAGACAATAGAAAGGACTCAGAGCAAGTCCCAGTATCAGATACTGCTTTGTACAGTTTAAGGGATAGTATTAATGATATTTTGCCTTAATTACACTCTGCAATAAAATAGGAATAATTCCCACTTCTATACTTTACTTATAGAATTAAATTGCAAAGCCATAACAAAGCCTGGCCATAATTTCTAGAGTGAGGACTCAGTCTGAGTTGCCTTCAGCTCAACCTTCCATGTATCCTTGTACTCTAGGAGTTTCCAGAAACTCTGTCGTGGAGTCTCTAATCTCAGTTCAAGGTTTCTCTTGAGGTCAAGAGATGCAGGCTATCCTGTTCTTTATGATTTTAAATTTGCTGATCACCATATAGGACTATATTACAAGGCCCCAGAAGACATCAAGACACAGAGAGAGATTGCCCCTGGGGTGTGCAGAAGCAACACATTGTCAGACCAGCCTGAAAATTGCATTCAGTACCTCAACTTTCTGTTGGATACTTGCACTGCATAATGAGCTGAGCTCACCCTTAGCTAATGCCTTTTCCAAAGGCAGGCTCAGTGATTTCCAGCAGGAATTTCCAAGGTGCTATGCATGGCGGAGCAAATGTCCAGTCCTGTATAAGTGGTATGCACAGCCCTCAGAGTGGGATATTTGTCTTCTGATATTTAATTTCAGCATGCACATCTGTGAATAATGACAATGGCGTTATTTATTTTAAAGTCTCAACAATACTATTTGGAATTCAGTAGACTTTTGTAGGACATTCATTACCTGAAACTGATTCTAGATTGTCCGTGTTGCTGAAACTCTGCATTTCTTCTGAAACTATAATGAGCTTCACATATAAATATCTCCAGAATATAATTAAGGCCAGCTGGTAGAGAGAATTATTTTGAAAACATTTTTGCTGGAAAGGAAGCCAAATTCACTCTTAGGAGTGGGGTCTGTAGTAGTGTTTCCTTTTCCTCTAAAATAATAGCATGAAGAAAAACCATTCTGGGAAGTGTCAACAAAAACTTAATTTGATGTACAAGAGCTGAAAACCAAAGCTAGAAGGAGAACCATGGGACAAAAATGTGTTTACACAGATGTTGGATTTTCTGCAAAACCTATGAAATTAGTGCTAAATCCTCTCAGGACTGAACAGTGGGACTGAAATTAGGCATGAAACATAAGTAATACGTGTTAACTGGCTCCCACCCACTCTTACACTGTGGGATTTTTTTTTCCTACAATAACAAATAATCAACACAGTGCAAAGGGGTTCTAATCCATTCATTGTATTAACACATCCTCAGGCAGGGAAGAAATCACCTGCAAAGATCTCATCTGCATTACTGCTTTTACTCTTGTTAAAAAAAAATGTAAGTATATAAACGGCATGGAAGTTCCTTCATAGAAATTAGTTTAATGTATGATTTTGTGTAAAATCTGCAGGTATCTGAGCTGGAGACTGACCCTCTGAGAACCCGCTCAGGCACAGACTGACACCCCTGGCTGAGCTGAAATGGGGCTTCTGGGCAGGGACCCATGTCCCTCTTGGGACCCTGAGAAATATTTACAGGGCATTTATTTTCAGCATCTGACCTTAATAAGAGTTACTTGGAATGGATTGCTTTATGAAGCAACAGAATACACTGGACATAATATTATATAGAAGTATATAAGATGGTTTATTGTTTATAGTTAGTAGAATCAACAGTACTAGATTTTTAGCTTCAATCCTGAAAAAACAGAAAAAAAAATTAAAGAATGATTCAGTTCTTTTTGAATGTTTGAGTCTCACAGTTAATGTAGCCTGAGCAGCCACTGGCTTAGCAAAACTATCTTCCTACACTTGACCTTCACATTTGAAGAAATAATCCCTTATTAACTTACAGCTAATATTGGGATCATAACCTCAGGAAACCGAGATGTTTCCCACCACTGACTTTGCTTTTTTAAAAAACTTTGATCTAAGGTGCAACGTGTGAGATAGGAAGGGGAGAGGAAGAGGAAAAGCCGGTATTAACTGCAGTGATTGCAGTCAGAGTAGGATAACAATTTTGAAAGATATTATGTAACCAACCCATAAGAGGAAAATCCTTGACAGTATGAGCACTGTACAGAGCCAATACACTCTCCCCAAAGCACAGTGCCATTTCACAAGTGTTCCTGGGAAGCTCAGACAAGAGATTTCCCTAACATGATGGAATATCAGATCTAAATGACTAAATTATTTCATTTTCTACTCCTTCAACCCAGTTCACCACAGGGTAAAAAGCTGGAAAAAAACTTCCACCCAAACCTCAAAAAAATAACAACAGCCCCTTCCATGGGAACAGAAGAACTACACCAATTTGAGAAGATAGTGAGATAAAAAGATATAAATTGAACACTGCTCACGACCTTAAATGAACACGTGTTGGAGTGGATATGGAAATTGCTTGTCTTTCAGCAGGTTTTTTTTGTACCTTCAATTGGCTGAACATGTTGTTTTCATCCCTCCAAAGTATTGTCAAAAACTAAATGTCAAAAACTAAATGCAATCAAATTTCACCACAAAACTTGTTTCTTTATTTCATATTTCTGTAGCATTATAAAACAGTCTTGGCTTTATTATTTAATATTTGGTTTTATTATTTAATTTCTTTTTCAGTTTTTCTCAGAAGTCTTATTTTCTGCTGTCTTATGTGATATAGTGAACTACAGAATTATTCAATCCTCCGGAAAATTATTTTAAACTGATGAAAATATTGTGTATACACACTCATAAGCAGTGAAACCTTTGTCTTGTATAATAAATAATAGAAGAAAACTGGAAACTAACTATATTTTCAAGTCTTGAGCATTATAAATCTTGGCTTGCAGTACCATAAAACAATTGTCTTTTTAAGTATATGGTCTAATCTAACACAAACAGGTTGTATATATGGTAGTTCCGGGTCACAGTACACTTACATTGAAGTTACCGGCAACATAGGCTGAAGTAACATCAAAATAAAGCAAATAAATATGTGAGCTTAAGTAGTTCTGGAGAATTAGCTCTAAAGAATTCCAGTTTCCTGTTGATCTGCCTCTTACCATTGGTCAGCTTCTGTGCTTAAGATAACTTCTTACGTGTGCCAAGAGAGCTTATGATGTTTTTCTTCCATTTACTGTCAAACAAAATGTCACTTCCATGTTCAGTCTTTCCATCATCAAGGTACTTTATGGTCTATCTCCTTCCTCAGGCCACCTATTTTCATGACATTTGTGGAAGAAAAATTATCTTTGGGACCTCTAGCCTTTACTTCACATGTGGCTGAATTTGGAGAGCACAGACACAAACACAGACTTTATAAGCCTTGTTTCCAAAGGAAACCACTCTAAAAAGGTATTCTTCTGCCTTTTGTTTTACAAGAAGTGATCTCATTGTAATCAAAACGGATGTCCTACAAAAGACAGTGGAAGGTTTTTCCAGTCAAACAAAAGATAAACAATTAACACTACCTAGTATCAGAAGAATAAACAAGCAGTTGTAAGTGATAGACTAGTGACCCCAAGAAGGCATAATACTCTACTTGCAGCAGTAATGTTGTCTGTTTTGGAAGGGAGGCAGGATTTTCATACCCTGCCTTCACCACAGATTGCTGCACCCCTTCTACAGCTACTGCTTGGTGTATTTCTGTTCCAAAAGTTATTTGCTTCCTTGTCAGATCAGTTTGTTTTCCATTACTATTATCTCTACAGGGAGATTTCTTCTGTTTCTAATGTCTCGAATGGGAATACAGCATAGATCTTTAGGGTTCACATGAATGTGAGGAAAAACACTAAATGAAGGTAGGATGAAGATTGCCCAACTCTAAAAGGAGTCATGGAAAAAAAAATTGCAAGAAACCTTCTCCAGCAATAAATGCTTTCAGTTGACATGATTATAGGGAATGACTCTTGAACAGCCAAGAAATTATGAAAAGGATAAAGAAATGGTTCAAAAATGTCACTTTCCATGGTTGGTAGGATGAACACAAAAGAACAGACTTTTCTGCTACTTGGGTAAGCTCAGTAACAGGGTAAATGCACTGAGCAGCTAAAATAGCAGAAGTAGCAATGGATTCTGCAATACCTATGCTGCAAACTGGAATTGCCCAATTGCATGATCCCCCAGGTTTCCAAATCTCATGAAAACCTCCCTATCACCAAACAGTTTCACTTTTAGGACATGTTTGTCTGATATCACACAAATTCACCTAAACCATTTCACTTTTGTGTAAAAGTAACACTCAGGACACTGATATTTCTGATTATTTATTATGGCACTTCAAAGCATATAAACTCCATTGCTAAGTGTTTCAAGTGAGTTTAAAAAAAAATAAAATAAAATGAGGTTTTAAGTTTTAGGCAGTATTTTAGTAGATTTTGGTTAAGAATTTTTAGAATGTTACTAGACATGAAATAAGAGTTTTGCTAGGAAAACAGGGAGTCTTCTAAAAATAAGGCTTCCTTTCAATAAAGCATGTGTTTGTCTGTTTATCACATTCTTTGGCTTAACAGTACATATATTTTGAGATAAGTGTGGGTTTGAAAGATGAGAAAACAAACTAAACCTGAAAATACATTCCTGTACTTAAATACCAACATGTCCCATATTTGTACCCACCCCCTGCTATTTACTTTGTAACATGCAAGTTTGAAGAAACTCCAGAGCCTGAACTATGAATGCCTTTTCTATTTCAGATTTTACTACTTTAGCAAGTAAGGATTTTGGTCAAAATTTGGCTTACTATTAATTGTATTAACTATGTAACTTTCATTATCTTGTACAGAAAGCTGTTTGTAGTAAAGCCTAAAACCAAAGTGATTTTTTATAAAACCTCACTTTAAAATTCCACTAGAGTAACAACATTTCCACTTCATATATTTGACAATTTTATTTAATAGCCTCATAAGTTCATAATAGTTACATAATAGTTACATCACGGCTTTTAAAAAGAATTGCACTCAACTACTCAGTCCATTGAAATACTAGAAAACAGGGAAAAGGAAAATATGGAGTGAAAAGGAGCTCTGTCCACTGAACTGAGTTGTCTGCAGTAACTTCCTATTGAACCAGAAGATGTCCTCATGCTTTCTGGTAGACTCTAACACACTTGACACCGTTCATGTCACATTCCTAGAAGATAAAGAGATAGATTTATTAATTTACCTCAGTACAGACTATAAGGGGAAAAAAAAATTTAGAGTTACATTTCAGACTACAGGTCAGGAGCACTCAGGGATCAGAAAGGGGGTCTGAACTCACCACCACCAATTGTCCATCCACTAGCTTCCTTGTTATTATGGTCTTCTTGCCATCCCATTCCTGCTCCTGAATCAATGACCCATCATCTTTTAAGCTGACAAGTGTCTGAAAGAAGAAGCTGAACATCAGTATTTTCCCATGATATCTGATGGACGCTGAGGCTTTCCAACACCTTATTCCAAATGAAAGATTCCCACCCCAACTCAATCAACAATAATTTTGTCATTGACATCTACAAAGCCAGGAGAGCATCTTAAATGTTTTCCATAACTCACTGCTCAGTCACTCAGTGCTCCCACACATTCCTGCACCAGACAGACCTTTGGCAGTATGCACAGTTTCAATGAACAGGAGCAGAGGATGTCCTCTGTTCATCTCTTTGTACACGGGTTTTGAGCTTTTGTGTAACATTTATCTGATCTTGCAATCATAGATGAATTGAGAGTGTGTGTCTGGATGGAGGGGGTTGGTGCACAGAGAGCACGAACACTGGGAAATTAGATATTTTTGTTTTACCTCCTTTTGGATAAATATTCTCCCTACTCAGTGCAAGGAGAAGCGCTTTGCTTTCTAAAACTGGAGATTAGGGACTGTGATTCAAAAAGGCTGCCTTGCACTGAACCAGGCTCTCTTGTTATGCAAATATGAGACTGAGAGGTTAACCCTAGGGCTGAATTGTCTCTGATTAAACATCAATGGCATTTTTTTCCACAGGCTTCAAATGAAGTGGCATTTGGCTTTAACAGGGATTTAGAGGTCTGTTAGTTTTACTAATAAAAAATGCTTCTGCTACAAAATGAAAACAACAAAATACACAAGTTCTTTGATTTCAGCATTTTCTCTCTTTGGAATTTGCTTAATCCAAGTAAAAAAAAAATTATTTCAGTGAGACTTAGAAAGACAGCTGCTCATCAAATAAAGCATTGTTAGTGCAGAAGTCAACACCGTTTTTTAAACACCATTTCCATCTGTAAATCACCCAAAGAATTGTGCTTTTTCAATAGACAGTCTAGTATACTGACCTGAGTTTTCCTGCCATCTAATGTATTTTCTTCAAATTTCTCACCAAGCTTGAAGCTGAACTGTGAAGTTTTGAAGGTGCTTTCTGTTTTTATGGTGATTGTGTCCCCATCCTTATTAATGTAAACGTCTGGTTTGGCCATGCTCCCCATTTTTCTCATGGCCATGCCCACACCTGTAAGGCAAGAGGCACAGGGTCACAGTGAGTTAAACCCTCAGGCTTAGGGCCACACAGGAATTCAAATACTTAATTCCCATTTAATTAGGCACTTAAGTACACTTGAGAATCAAAGCTCAAGAGCAACAAAGAAAAAGGATGTTTTAAATTATCCAGTGATGAGGAAGGAAAAAAGCTTATTTGTAGGGTTACTCTTTGATTTCCTCTGAGAGCTGAAGTTAAATCTATTTTGCCCTCTAGGGGACCCGCAGATATCCCATAACTCAGCATCAAATTTTTTTTTTCAAACAGAAATAAACAACAAACAGGAAAACAAACACAGACACTTAAACTAAAATAAAATTATTCCCTTCAAGTTCTGAGAACTTTAAAAATTCTACAAATTATTTTTTATTGATAGATGAATACACTTCAACTTACTCAAGAAGTACCCTTCAACCACTTTGTACACAATTGCCAACATGCCATTTTTAAATAAAATTTCATATTCCAAATCCTGTATACGTTTGGAGTTGTGAATTAGAAAACCACTATCATGCAAAACAGTGCTTACACATACACACACACAAAAAAACCCACAAGAAAAATGGAGAAATGAGCTTTGTGAATGGCTGAAAATTCATCAAAACTCTTCAGTAAAAGCCCCTGTCTCAGCCCGTGCATGCACTGTTTCAGGGGCTTGCTTGAACTGTCTTGATCTGAAGGATGAAAATACAAATAAGAGGGTAGCGGGCAACAAATGTGAATCCATCAGCCTGGAATGTTCAAATCTGAACCAAGAATTGATATGCAACCAAATTAAGGCAAAAGTGCCTCCAAGTCAGTGAGTGCCTGGGCTCTGCAGCTGGGGTAGTTAGAAAATCTTGCCATGTATCAGCATAACACTCCCCTGGGCTCGTACAGGATGCTTGGGTGAGGGATAGGTCCACAAAGCAAGGATTAGTTTCTTTGAGAGGTGGAAATAAAGTACTTTGCTGACACTACTTCTCCAGGCTCAGCTGAGATTCCAGGAGAGTGCCTTAAGCTGGAGCCCACAGAGAAAAAAAGTCATCCTTAGTCCAGCTTTTCTGACCAGAACTGGAAATTATTGCCACAGTGACCACACCACACCCCCCCAACCACACACCCTATTGCTGTCATCCATCCAGGGTCACCAGGGAGTTATTTAATCAGCTATAGGTTGGAATCCAACCAAGCGGAGATGAGCTGCATATGTTTTCCATCTGGTAAGGAGTGAAATTCAAACTTCTTTGTCCTCAAACGTTCTTTTACACAGACTTAGCAGAATTTGCATGATCTCATTTATGGTGCACCAATAGGACCAAAAGCAGAGAGTTTTCTAAATAGCCAGCAAAGGTGAAAAACGGTAAATGGCTCCTAAAGTGTGAGTTGGGGGAAATTTAATTGCCTAAATTGTAATTGTAAAAAGGAAAAATGACTGGTTTATGATTGCAAACTAAAACCAAACAATAGTCAGTCACTGCCCACACAGGGGAGGTGCTCTGTAGTTGCAGCACTTAATTTCTACTTTGAAGTTGCAACTTGGCATACGCCTAGGTCTGGCCATTGGACATGAGCACCACAGCATCCTAATCTATGGCTCAACAGAGCTGAGCTTAAAATTCTTGAATTTCCTCCAAAGTCTCCCAAAGGTCTCAGTCCAAAAGGCTTTTCCACTTCATAGCTATCACATACTGACAGGTCTCTCAAAATATAACTACAGCCACCACTGTCTGCAGAGTGTGCACAGCCGTCAGTGTCTGCAGTGATGCCTTTTGTATTTTGCATGAAGAGCACAAGACCTAAATTCCTTCCTATCACCCCTCTAAATACAAGGCTACATCTTCTGCCTCTTGCAAAAATATCCTGGCTTTCATCAGTGAATAAACTGCAGAAAATAATAGCTCCTGGTCTATGCAGACACTACCGGGTGCCTATCACCTGTCAGCCAGGATGCTCACAGGAAAATGGTAAATCTGATCTTGCAGAGGAGGCTCCTGGTCTGTTAGGTCTATCTGCTCTTCATTTGGTAACTTGGCATTACAAAATGTAGGACAAAGCTGGATGCAGGGATAGCATGCCAGGACCAACCCCCTGAGATAAGGGTGCCGCTACCCACAGGAGAAAACAGGCAAATAGCCTCCGCTGGGTCAGCCTGCCGCCGGCTACCCACAGGCAGCTGATCCAGTTAGGCTTTCTCTGGAGGAGACACCCAAGGTGACTCCACGGGGAGGCAGCCCCGGCTCAGCAGGTCTGTGTGCGGCCTCCCCGGGCGCGATGAGCCGGCCCGGCTTGGGCAGCAGCGCTGCCGAGCGGCATCTGCAACCCACCGCCCCTCCCGGGCCAGGGCAGCGCCCACCCCACAGGCCCCCGCCCCGGGCATTACCCGGAGAGGGAGGAGCGAACCGGTCTAATCTCAGCCGGGCTGCTGGCAAGGGTTGGTAATCCGGGGTGCTGCGGAGGGAGGGGGAGGCCACAGACACCTGGCTCCCAGCAATTATTACGATGCAAAACATCGTGCCGACATCTTTAGGACGCGGAGCCGGCAGCTGTCCCGGGAAGAAGGGTGTGCTCCCAGCCAGCAGTCCCTCCCAGGCGCCGGGGAAGGGGAGCACGGAGTCCCCGGTGCCGCATCCCGCAGCATCCCAGCATCAAGCCCGCAGCCGCCGCCCATTCGCGGCTCACGGACGAGCTGCGTCCCACCCTCATGCCCGTCTCCAGGACCGCGCTGGCCGCGGACCTTGGACAGAGCCTCGCCGGCCGGCAGCCACGGTGACAGCGGCACGTCCCCGGGGCGGCATCGCGGCATCCATCCATTCCTCCCTCCCTCTCGGAGGCGGGGAGCCGCCAGCTCCTTACCCAGCTCTTTCATGTACTCCTCGAAGCCTTCGCTGGAGATGAGGCACCATTTGCCTAAAAACGCGTCGATAGCCATGGCGGCGGCGCTGGAGCTGGCGACGTCCCTGGAAAAGCGTGGAGACAGGAGGACGGGCTACAGCGAGGCCGCGGACGCTTTTATAGCGGGGCCGGCAACATGTGCCGCCGGGAAGAGCCAATGGGGCTCCCGCCGCGCCCCGGCCCCTTCCCCGCCGAGCCCCCGCCCGGCGAGTCCCGCCCGCGGCGGCGGCGGCGGCAAGAGCGGGCACGCCGGGATGCTGCCCGCCCTCCGCCCGCACACACACACACACACACACACACACACACACACACGCACACACAGGCAAACACAATCACACATGCACAAACACACACACGCACGCACCCCCTCCCTGCACCCCGGGACGGGAACGCCCAGGAACGGTGGGACACCGACAGAGCCGTCACGCCAAGGGATGTCGTGACCTCGACGCTTCTTCGGACACAAAAGCGTCCCGGCACCTACCGTGGCAAAGAGGTCGGTGCGCTGAGCACTGGGCACTCGTGGGCTTCAACCCGGACTCCGAGAGTCTGGCACCAGGGAAGTTAAAAAAACTGAAGTCCTGGGCACTGAATGCTAAATTGCACTGTATATATGTCATACTTTTTTGAAGGATAATTCAGGAGTGAAGAAGCATCATATGGCACAGAGACAGAACAATAAGGCATCAGCATTCCAAAGCAGTTTATTGGGATTGATTGTCAGCCTTCCCAACAACCCCCCAAATCCCACTGGTATATCCCATATTACTGAACTATAGCAATCCATAGCTTGCTGCAACCCAGGAACAGACCTGTTACATGCTCACAGTGATCAGTTAGCAAACAAGATTGATCAAAATACAGAACTAATGTGGACACTTGCAGTACACAGGAAAAAATCAAAGCAACCTCATGCTGTAGCATTGGAAAAAATGCATCTTTATCTTATTTTCAGTCCATATTGAACTGCAATACCCTAATTCCTACTTGTTAGAGAAAAATGCAGCAGCTGCCACTGCTGTACACTGACACAGAAGTGACTTCATAAAACATATGATCTTAACAGGCCCTGTGTCCTTCGGGCCAATCTTTTGTCGAATTCTGCCAGGTGAGCAGTGAGATTTACTGTCATGTTCTGTGAGGAAGCTGCTATTTCTAAGTCACAACAGAAATCCTGATTCCAATGTACTCCAAAGATTTGTTTCCACCAGCAGCCTTATGCCAATCTCTGGGTTTTTTTGACCTTGTATCAGATTGGATGAAACCCACAGCTACTTCCTCCAGTCCGGAAAAAGAAAAATGTGAAGATGCACCTAGTGTCTGGAGGTTTTTTTATGGAGTAACCATGACTAAACTTCTCTTCTAGTACTTTTGTGGAGGAGTTTGAGGTGAAGGTGCCACACCCAGAAAAGACAGCAAGGGCTCTGTGCTCATTCCAGCATTTAACATGAGAAGGTGCTGTGAAGCTAAGTCTTTTGGAGTAAGGAGGATGCCTTCCCTCATGTTTTGCAGTGATCCTTGTAGGGTGGTTGGAAGTTTCAATACTTTGTAGAAAATCAGAGTTGTCATACACAGAGTAAGCAGATAATTTTTGAACTGATTCTTTTTAAAGAAATAATTCTGTTTAACTATCCTTCCCTACAGAGTTGCCTTTAATTACCTTCTGCTTCTCTGACTATACACTTGCTTTTAATATGCAAACAACGTTATATATCGTCTGCTCATAAGGAAGCAAGACATGTTGCTTTTTTTTGGTATTAAGTAGGTACATTGAAACACAAGACTTTCAGCTTCCTTCCACTTTTATCTTCTCTTTTTTTAATCTTTTCTTTTTTTTCCCCATCTTGCACAAGATACTTCAGAGTACATTTTAAATGAGGCTGATGTTTACTAATTCAGAGTAGTGGAACCAACATGCTGTTCATCTTGCAATTCTTCTCTGGTTGCTTACAGAAAGGATAAATGAAAAGCAATTAGATTAGGGATCAAACAGAATCATCCTTCAGGAATTAAGAAGCCTTCAGTCTTGTAAAGAGGGAACAATTTCTAGAAATAGAAATCATGGCTTTGCTCCATGTATACTAAAAAAGAATTTTGGATCCACATTTCTGCAGTGCTGGCTGCAGATGGCTTATGATATGCAAATAGTATTCAGGTATAAGTGCTGATAATGCAGCAGAAGATGTAAAATCCACTATTTCCATCTAGTGGTGAGACAGTATTCCCAGATCTTAAGTACCTGGAGATCCAGCTACATACCTGTGCACAATGTTGCTCCATTTTTGAATCTTCCCATAAATCATTTGGTCTGATTTATTCTCCTTACAAATTTTTCAGGTCTAGGCTTGTAAATTCATACAAGACATGAGAAGAAAAGAGCTCTTATTTCTCTTTTATGACTGTTGGGATACAATGAAAAATACCTCTCAATTTTTACAAAGTTCTAAAGTTTTGCAAATTAGTCCAGTGATATGGATTAGTGGCTGTGATATCACTAATGTTACATCTCAAAACTTTTTTGAAACAGTATAGTGCTGAAATTTGTGGTATCTCACACAGCAAATAAAGTAACTAGAGGGACCAGAGATGTATCCTTCTGAATAAGGTACAAATGGCCTGGGCTACAAAATATACATTGTTTTTTACCTTTACAGTACAGTATGTATATTGGCCAAATATGGCTCTTACTTTGGGAGCCAAACTAAAATGTTCAGATATCCAGAGCTGCTTGAGCCACAGAGATTCATCCCTGTAAATCTCAGTTCCTGCCTGGACAATCAGGCCTTTTGTGTTTGTGTAGTCTCCTCTCTAGACATACTCGAAGAGAAGCAGCAAATACATGTATTCCTATGGAAGGCGTTGAATTCCTGTGGCACATAGTACTGTTTCAGCGCAGACAGATTAAATCCTCTGAAGTTTACCTCATTTCCACATTAGACTATACATTGTCCAAGAAAAGGAGAATCAAATTTACGAGAAGAAAAGATTTACAAATTTACAAGAGAAGTGTGAATTTTTCCGTGGAAATAAGCTGCACGGCAAGCACGTAGCCACAGTTAGGAGCAACCACCACCTTGGCAGCTTGGGCCTGCCAGGGTGAATGCTTTCCAGAGGTAGTCAAACCCTTACCCCTTGTAGGAGGGGAGGATATTACAGTCCTTCATTACCAGCTGCAAAAAAAAAAAGGACCAAGGCAAAAGAGAGCACAGAGACCTTCGTTCTACTCCTCTGGGCAAGTGTGCATCGTGCAGTGATGCTTCATCTGATGTGGGAGCTGGGAAGCTGTGGCCAGCAGTGTTTGAGGTTTCTCTTCACATAGCCATAGCATTACCCATTGCATGCAAGCTAAGCCATATTTTGTCTTTTGGAGTCGCAATACCTGCTGCTTGGGCAGGGCACAGCCTCACCTCCTCCTCTGCAACATATTGCTAATCAGGTTCCATTGGAGGTGCAACTTCTTCCCTAGACCTTTACTCATTAAACTGCCCATATGTTTAACTTGGAAGAAACCCAATCTGATAGCACTATACTTTGCTTTACTGTGTAAAAGGGAGGATCTTTCTTTCTTGTATACAGACATACTGTGTCTATACAGTACCTTTTCTAAGTGGTAGGCATCTTCTAGACAACACTACCTCTTATGAAAGTCCTAAAAATTGTCAGGAAAATTGGATACCACAGCCCAAATTTGACTCTTCAGCCTACCTGTAGCTGGAAAAATATCAAAGCAGTCCTTGAATAATAGTTAGTCACCCCCAAGGCATGGATGGGAAAAATTGCATAGGTAGCACAGCTTTGTTTCTGTTTCCTTGTTGTACAAGTGTGGTTTTCCCTTCCCAGCCGTGTCATCACTGGGTAGACATGATGAAACATGTGCTACGGTTGCATAGCTGGCCTAAGAAAGCTTTACTCCAGCTCAGGAGCTGTTTGCTTGGGCAATACTAGACCAGAAATTATGAAGCAACAAAACATGAATCTGCAAGTTTTCCTTTGTATGTCAATATGCACAAGATCTTCCAGTGTACTGGCATTTCATTACCTCTGAGCTACAAGAGCTGGGCATAGCCTGTGTTTATCTATGAACTTTGTGCAACACATCTGTTTTAAATTCAGAACAAAGCCATCTTGCTCTCCAGCATGGAGCATGGGTCCAAAGAATCCTTGTTGTAGATCTGGAAACTGCTGCATCTGCCCTGGGTAGCCAGCTGTCAGGGATGGGCAGGCTCATGTGGGCCCATGTTCAGCGCCCAGCCCCGGAGCCCCAGCCCTCGCTGAGGCCACAGAGCGTTACTATAATGCAATTATCGCACTGGCAGCCTCACTGTATGTCCTGTACATTGTCAGCAGCATGTTCAAAGCAAGTTTAAAGGGAAATGCTTACACCAAGGGCAAAGTTTACTGTGGCAATGGTGTGACAGCTCTCCGATTGTCCCCTGCCTCAATGGTGAAAGAGAAAGCTCCAGAAGCCTGCAGTGACTGGAAAAAGGACTCCATGCTTCATTTTCCCTATTCCAGAGAAAAATGACCTGACGTCAGATCCAGCCCAGCTCGTAAGGACTGCAGATGTGTTAGCTTGTGTCTAACTTTGGAAGCTCTGAAAAGCCTTCTTTATTTAGCAGCAGTATCACTTTTAATAGCAAACATCCCACACATTAGAATAAAAATGTTTTTATTTATCTACAGAATTTGATAATCAGCACATTCATTACAATGCTAAAAAAGAGATCAGGGTGACACAAAAATCTTCCATAGCTGTAGTTTTAGCTTTTGATCCACGTAAAATAGAAGCGTATTAGCAGGGAATACCTGCTCACAGAGGAGACTTTCAGAAAGCAAATACTCTGGCTTGGCTTTTAGAAACCTCAGATGTACAAAAAAACCTATCACAAAGCTCTATAAATAAAGACAAATACCTCCAAATAAAACCTCAACTTTGTCTTTTCTGAGTGGTCTGGACCAGTAAGGACATAAGGGCAGGGACAAGGAATGTCAAAATGATTTGGAATAAATAATGATAGAACAAATATTTCTACCAATGATGAATAATTAGCCTATGAAATTTGGAATCACAAACTACAGATGTGCCCACTGGATCTTAGAGGGGTGTATAAAGCTTTAGCTTTTTCTTGATTGCATATCAGAAGCAGAGTTTCATTATTATGGATATTGATCAACCATTGTGAAGGTAACCTCAGGGAAAAAAAAGTTTTATAGTTATAACTGTAGTTATTGCATTAGTTTTTATTCTCAGGATGTCACAAGATGAGCATCACAGAAATCTGGCAGGCAGAGCCTGACACTCATCCTCTACAGAGGAAGGGTCTTTGCATTGTGATGGGGATACCAACACCTTGCCCAGTAGCGTTGGAGTGAGAGGGACCGCAAGTGCTTCTCTTCCTGTTGAGTAAAATCCTGCTGTACAGTGTTAGGAATATGTGTAGGCTGCTTACCTGAATAGGGCTCCCAAAGGACTTCATCCTGTAGAGACAAGGGCTTAGGTGTGAATGTGATGCCTAGGGCACTGCTGATGGAGGTTCCAAACAGCACAAGTCTCCTCACACCTGCACCCAGCAGGAAGAAATAGGCTCTCTGGGGTGCCACTCAAAGCATTAGCTTCCCATTCTGACGCCTTTCAGAAAAGACCTCCTCTTCCATGGACTGTAGAAGAACATAGGGAAAAACCCTTTGGAAGCTAAAGCTAGTTTTTACTATTATCCCATTCCTATTGTCAACATACTAAGTCTTGTCAAGAATCAGATGATTACTTTTTCCTTTCCTTCAAATAACTAGATCAATATCAAGTTAAGCTGCACATAAAAGAAAAGGTGCCCAAACCAGTCTCAGAATCTCTCTTGGGGCAGAAGCACAGGAAAAAATGAAGGATCTGTAATGTAATTTCTTACTTCCTTATAGATTTTCTCTGGCCTAGATGTTAGATATGTAACATCATCTCTCGCGACAAAATCAAGGACATAAACCCAAATACTGTGAGGCTTTTCAAGTCTAGAAGACCAAACTGGAGAATACCTGCTGATCCTGCATGGTTGCCTGAGATGCCAGAAGCAAGAATTTTCTTAGAAGATCTTTTGAACCCAAGTCATGTAGTCAACTCAAAAAACCTCTGCTATTAACACTGCCAGTATATAGAAGCCCACTTTAACTTAGGCAGAATCTCTAGGCTCTGCTTTTAAGTACCACTTTGAAATTTCTCAGGAGATGATCAAAAGGGGTCAGCAACTCCTTTGCCTTCACACCCCTAGCATCTGTCCCTGGGCACAGCTTTAGTTTTGTAAAATCCTGAGACCAGCTCAATGTAAAGACAATTTGTTGTCAAATTAAAAATGATCAGAAGCAAAGCAGCACCACCTGTTCATGCTGCTCCATCCCAGCATTTATCAGCTTACAGAACAAGGTTAAGCAGGAAGCAGAGAACATGCAGTGGTCTACCAGCAGCAAAGTACTTCAGCTGCTTGAAGCTACTGCCTGCTCTGGGTCGACAATAAAAAAGGCTCAGAAGAGTGACTCAGGCCTTCCAGGGAGAAAAGGTGAGATTGGATGAGATCAAACAGTACCAGAAAGGAAAAAGGCTATTAGGCCAGGAGATGGAGAAGGCAGGGAAGTCATTGAAAGAGGCACTGCTGGTAGGTGACATGGCAGTCTCAACCTGAATCCAAACTATCCAGAGGAAAACAGGGCCTGGCATTCAGGGAAACTGCTTGCACATGTAGTTTGTGAGGTGGGCAGTGAGCCAGCAATTCTTAAACTGCAAGGAGTGTATACATATGCAGGAGATACATTTGGAAGCAAATATCTTGAGAACTGTTAAATACAGTCCTTGCAATGTTCACCAACACTTGCTGCTCCTAGTCGAAATCTTTAATAAAGGTTTTTTCTAAAAACAATGCTGCAGATACTTAAAAAGGGAATATCTCGGCCAGGTAGTGTTATCTGAACTACATATTCATCTGTTTCAGGACTGTTTTCCCTATGCACTGATAAGGACTCCTAAATAAATACGTATTCCTACAATAAACAGATCTAAGATGTTTCTAAAATCGGTTTTAAATCTCCAGGTATTAAAGATTTAGCCATTTTACTGTCATCACCTGCTATCAGACACCCTATGCAGACATAGTGTTTGTATTTAGGTAATCCCAGTGTTTTTAGGGCCTGTTCCAGCTGTTCCAGTTCCTTTCATAGCCGAGCGAGCATCCACATTTTTGGTGGGGTAATCAAGATTAGTGGGCTAAAGAATAACAACATGCAAAGTCAAAGCTCACCCAGACACATTTTGTTCTGCATGACTGACCTTAATACCCTGTACATCCCCAGCCCTGGACTGTGCATGTCAGGAAGCTGTCAGAGCTTTGTTTCAGTCAATCACCAGCAGGAACTGATAGTGTATGAACAGCTAAGCTATCTAAATGCTCAGGAAAGAAAGTCATTACAGATCACCTTTAACGTACTTGAAAAATAAACTCGTACCTTTATCGACACTGTACAGGGAAAGCTAGTTTATACAGATTAGCATAATAATCACCAGAGGAGTACCTTCTTGCCCATATTGCTTGCTTATATTGCTTCAGTATCTAAGAGTCTCGAGAATGCACATTTTTAGCTTTATTTTTCTGTCCTGGAGGTTTTCCTTTGTACCCTGTACGTTAAAACGCACGTCATGACAAAACATATCAGAGCTCTACCACTGCAAACTGCAGCTACCTGCAGCCACAGCCTCAGCTTCATCCACTGAATTGTCGGCCATTTCTCAACAGCAACGTTGCAGGCCTTTGGCCTAGTCTAAGCAAAAAGTAGGTTAAAATGAAAGCACCTAGAAAAAGCATGTTTTTACACAGCAGGATGCCTACCCATGCAAGTAAAAGTGAATTTTTTTGTTTTTTCTTTAGAAAACTCCAAAAGAACTTTTTGGGTTCTTTTCACCTTTCTTCAACAACAGAAAGGTTGTATTTTGGCCATAAAAAATTCAAACTATGATCTTTTCTCCCTTTTCTGTTCATAAACCCCAATCTTGGGCCAAAAGAAACACTACAGAAACTTAATTAGTAATAATAATTAACACATTCTACTCTTTAGGTACTTACAGATTAAATTATTTAGGACAGATCAAGTGTTTCATATTTAAACACAAGTTTTACACATTGATGTTGTACAAACTGTCAAAGGAAGGAAAAACAATCACAAAAATCACTGATGTAGTACAGTAAGAGAGCTTTTGAGCACATGGATACGTGATTAACCAGGGAAAGAATAATTCTGCAGTGTTTTTCCACCTGAACAATTCTCACTCTTCCTGTAGAGGTGCTTCAGGTAAAGTCATGGTATATGATGTTAATCTAAAATGGGAGGAAAAAAACCCAAATCAAACAAACAAAAAACCTGTCCTTTGAACAGTCTTATTTATATTTGATCTACTTCTACAGTACTTTTCTATTTGTTGCAAACACATGGGAAATACCCAGTGTCTTTAGCACAGCTCTCCAACATAACACATCACCTTGACTTGAGCAACCTAATGAAGAAGTTGCAAAGAACCACCTTGACAGTGCTATTTAAAATGATCTTCCTTTCACAAAGGACAGTACCCATTTAAAAATCTTGGCAAAAGTAAGGTAAAGTTTCATATTTGTGTCCTAAATCTGCTGCCAAATTAACTTTGGAAATACATGAACTCGTTTTAGAGAAGTCAGGCATCCGATTAACAGGTAGAACTAATGCCTCTCAAGTGCAACTGCAATTCTCAAAACTGGAACCACATTTTCATTATGAACTAGAACAAAACTGATGCACAAGAAACACGTGCAGCTGACACCTTCAGCTGCACAGCCTGAGGAGATCAACCCACAGAGTTTTGCAATACACACAAGACACCTAAGCAGTTACTTTAATAAGTAATAGGGTTGGACATGGGGCTATAAACACCAAATAAAGCTCCACCCTTGATCTTTACAAAGTATTTAATGAAATAGCCCAAAAGTGACAAAAATACTGCAAACCTGAACTTCAAAGATAGCCCTTTTCTCCAATTATTGAAAAAACTAACTTACCTTTCCCTTTGAGCTAAACTTAGTTACTTTTATACAGGATGAGTGGTTCTACTGTGTCTTGACAGTCTCATTACCTTGTTACTTTAATTGCTGAACTAAATTTAGTTAGGAGACTTCCCCTTTCCTTCACAAAGACAGGAAGACAATGGCAGGAGCTTAAGAACAGATGCATTATAAACATAGTATTACAAAATTCACTCTATTTGCAGCTGTTGTCCCTCAGCTAAGTCAATGATGAATCCTTTAAAAGTTTTCTTCAAATTTTTAATAAATTTAATAGTTTTCAAAAAATAATAACCACTCTAATAATGTTTTGCACTACAACACAGAGAAACTTTGGAGGAAATAATGTCCAAAGATATCTGTCTTCATTGCAATATTAATTTAATAGGTAATGTGTATTATTCACACCGATATGCAAATACACGTGATGTTAGTCCGACACGGCTGCTCAGAGAGATGCATTCGTGCATCTTAAGCCACTCTGACCCACTAGGGTTAGAGTTGTTGTTCCACTATGTTCTCCTTCAGGTGAAGACAGGGAACATTTAAAGGGTTCATTCTGCTGCATGTCACACTGGTCAGTGTTTTGGCCATCTCTCTCAGATTTTCTTGCATAGGAGAAAAGCCTTCTGTGCAGCCTGCTGTTTTTAACACATGTAAATGCAAACACACTTGTTTCTCTGTTCTTCAGGGACTCTTCTTCTTGCTTTTCTGTTCTTCCTTAAGGTCTTTTGCACTACATCTGGACCCCAATGCTGTTAACATTTCTACCGTCGTCAAGTTGGCTCCCTTCATTATTAATCGATCTCCATCAGCTGTAAATGGAAAAAATCTTAAGAAATCACGAAGTCTAAATCACAATTACTCTAGTGTGCAATTGTTTTGTATACATAAATCCAAATAACCTGTTCATCTTGTCTGATTAGAAAGGACTCTACTTACCAAGGAACCCGATCATTATCACAAACACATTAAACTGCACACAATACGCATTTAATTTTCATTTCTGAACTGCATTATTGAAAAATCTGAAAACATTTGTCTAAGTATACCTATGGTAAGAACACATACTTGAATGGCTCATACTGTACCTCCCAAGTCATCTAACAGAAGGCACAGAAGGCACTGAAAGACCATTTCCACACATGGCTCAGCATTTCAGCAGCCTGTTGTCTACGGTCCGTTTAACGTACTTCTTTAGCCAAAACAACAAATTGGTTTACACAACCTGGTGGTTATGATGGAAAAAAATAGAGAGCACTGGGATTTCCAAAATTCTGAAAGAATTTATTTTAAAACAGGCAGAAAGCAGTACAAGTACTGCACCCAAGTTAATTATTTATTTTTGCAAGATTTGCAAATACAAAACCCATACCAAAACTCATATAATGCAATACCACGCATGCCATCCAAGTTCCAGGCCACATTTGCCAACTACAAGAGCTACAAACGCTTCCCTGGAAAAAAAATCAGCCCTTAGAAAATTAAGAGTTCAGAGCTGTAGCTCTTGGCATAAGTGAAACAAACTGTTTTGGTTTTACACTGTGAAAAACATTGAGCTTTACTGCTTCAGACTTAATACATCAGATCACAGTCAGAGACGGATGGGAAAGACAGGCATGGGGCAGGGAGGAACAAGCAACATTAATAGGGAAATAAGTAGACTTTCCTAAGCAAAACAAAGGCCATTCAACACTTTTGACATTTCCACCAATTCACTAAATATATGGAAGTTTAAAGATAAGGGAATAGCATGAATCAATAATAATGAAAACTTTAATGGGCTACATGACATATTGGTCCATTACAGCACAGCAGGAAAGAAGATGCAGCCAGAGAAAAGGACAAAAGAAGCTTACAGCCATCTGTTCACAGCCTAAAATCTGGGCCACCTCCAGAACTGCTGAAATTTCCACCATCAATTCCCTGCCTGCTCACCATGCCCTCAAAGGAAATCAAGAAATTTGTTGTACACAGTTGACCTCATTCTGCAAGTCCATCTGCACACGCGTGGCCTTACCCATATGAGCAGTTCCTTCAAACTGCAGAGGGAGTTACTCATTGCACAAGCAACTAAAAGTATTCAACTTTCTGTTCTCAAGGCTGAGACGCCTCCACCACAGGTACCATACAAAAAAATTACAGAAAGTGAACAGATTCTTACATCAGAACAGAGCTGCATTTACTTCCCTGGAATTGTACCTGCCTGCAAGGTCACGTAAGTAGGTCACTACACAAGTACATTCGGCTCTAAAGTTAAGTCAGTTTTTGGATCCAAGATCCATCAGATCTAACTGTAGTACAGAGACATATATACACATTTATCTAGACATCAGGCTGTTAGTGACTCCCTATTTCTTTTTATCTCCAGCTGCACAACATCTACCTATGGACGAGAGCCAAAAAAAATAATCATAGTAAAAAAAAAATTATAGAGAATAGAATAACATTGTAACAACACAAACCCAGAGAGTCTTTTTTTTTGTTGTTTAAAAATGAGCTCCTTACCGAACATGACATCTACAAGTGGTTCAGATCCATCATGTCTCACATCAGCAGTCACTTCACAGTTTCTATTAGTAGCTTGAACTTTTTTATGGAATATACATTGGAGAAATTTTCTGAAAATATATTTGAAAATATATTAAGTATGTGGCAGATAGCAATTAAAATCAGTATATTTCTAAAACTAATTTGTATATCTTGACATTGCTGGGTAACAAGTATAAATGAAATAGGATTTGTATTTAGCACTTTCAGACAAGAACTTCTTATATGAGAATCACTCTAAAAAAATCCAAATGGATATTCATTATATACCAACATGTTAAAAGCATACCAAAGAATTTGTAAAACTTCAGTGTATACGCCTTCTATGTTTCTCTCAGCTGGGTTAGTAAGAATAATAAAGAATAATCAGCAAAATAATTTTCATTTTTCTTTATAAGTCATTTGCTTGCAAATATTTTCTTGTTTGGGTTTGAGACAGCATTTATTTATTTGACATCATTGGTCTCCTGTAAATTTCTGAAATGCATGACAGCTACTTCACATTCTAGCAGCTTAAAAATATTCTAAATTAAACTGTACTACTAAATTCATTTTAAAACTACATGTGTCTGTAAAGTCATTGCAAACTGACAGTTTGCAACTGTTTGGTGCAGAACCCACATTACTCGAGAAGCACAATTCCTTAGATTTCTGCAACAGTTAATTACCCAGATAAAGGAGCAGCTGTTGCCTCCACCTTCTCCCATTATCAGCATCTGGAGGAGTGATTACACTCCCTACTAGAGGACCAGCCACTGCAGGGCACCTCCCTGGGTACTTTGGTAAAGCTCAGTGCACATGTCCATATGCCAGGGCCTACACTCTGGCACAGAGACCCTCCAAAAAGCACGGGATGAAGGAATTCTGTGTGCAGCCTGGTAACACCACAGGCAGAGCCCTGCAACAAATCCCATCCTGACACGTCAAGGTTCTGCCTGGACTGAGCTCCAAAGGCCTGATAAATGCAAGCCCTCAAAGAGCAAGATCAGGGAGGATAAAGCAGCAGGTGCAAAAGTTTGGGAGGAGGAGGTTCTCCTCCTGAGAGGGAACCGCAGGCGCTGCCATTTCCCTCACGGTTTGCTATCAGGACCTCTAACTCTTTGCAGTGACAGCAAGTCCCAGGGCACTGCTGGGACAGCAGGTTTTGCGGCTTCGTTTGGCACCTGCAGCTGCTTCCCGGGGGCACACGTAACCCCTGCCTCCACCCCCAAAAAAGAGAGAGAATTAAAGGCAAAAGGCCCAGCGATCGCCCCTGCCGAGAACCCCGGGAGGGCACAGGAAGGGCGTTTACAGACAGGGGAGCCCGGGCAGAGCACGGCCGGGAACGGGGATGGGAGGACCCTGGGGCCGGCGCTGCCCCCGCAGCCCCCTCACCTCGTGCTCTCCACGTTGGGCTCGAAGGGGCAGAACCGAACCACGATGCTCTTCACGGGCCGCAGCACCACGCTGATCTTGGACGCCATCTTCTCCCCGCCTCCTACTACAGCTCCCAGCAGCCCCCGCGAAGGAGCGTTAAATTTTGGCGGGCGCGCCGCTGCCCCGTGGGCAGGTGGGAAATGTAGTCCCTGTCGCGGCCGTGGGGCGGGAGGGTACGGGCCGCGCAGCGCGGGGCGTCTGTGGCGGGCGGGCTCCCTTTAATAACCCTCAGCGCTCGGCACCTGGCTCCTCCCTGGCTGAGGGGGGAGAGGGACCAGTTCACCCGCCTGTCCCAACCCTTCCGCTGACTCTGTAACAGAGCAGACAGGAAAAAAAAACAACAAAAACACTAAAAAAAAGTAGTCATACTTTTGCTATAAGATGACATAAAATATCCCAGTGGGCTCTGCAGCAGAAGTAGTGGCCCCTGAGCTGGTAAGACAGGCACACAGGAGGCAGGGAGTCTGGGGTAGCGCTCATGGGATGCTACAGTACATAGAGTCTTTAGACTGAAGAAGCAGGGCTGGGTTTGTTTTCCTTTATGTTAAATCCATCCTTTTGGCCTGGCAGCTTCTAATGTCTTCCAAGATGTAATTTGTTCAATACAATTGAATGGACAAGTATTGTCATAAAATTAGAGAATCATAGAAGAGACCTAAAATTTCATCTAGTTTCAACACCCCTGCCATGGGCAGGGACACCTTCCAGTAGACCAAGTTGCTCAGAGGTCCATCCAGCCTGGTCTTGAACACTTCCAGGCATAGAGCATCCATAACTTCTCTGGCCATCCTGTTCCAGTGCCTCACCACCCTCACAGAAAATAATTTCTTCCTAATACCTAATCTAAACCTACTCTCTTCCAGTTTCATGCCATTTCCCCTTGTCCCGTCACTACACGCTCTTGTGAAACGTCCGTCACCAGCTTTCCTGTAGGCTTCCTTCAGGTACTGAAAGGTCACAATAAGGTCTCCCCAGAGTCTTCCCTTCTCCAGTCTGAACAACCACAATTCTCTCAGCCTTTCCTTGTTTGCCATCCCTCTGATCTTCATGGCTCTCCTCTGGATCCACTCTAACAGGTCAATGTCCTTCTTGTGCTGAGGACCCCAGAGCTGGATGCAGCACTCCAGGTGGGTTCTCACAAAAGCAAAGGAGAGGGGAAGATAAGGATCAATAGGGAGCTGCCAATGTAGCTAAAGATTTCACAGTATATCAAGCAGGAGAGAGACCTGCGGGAGGCATTGCTGCTGGAAATGAATGTGTCTGTTTGCTTGTTTGTTTGTTTGTGAGGGGTTACATCCACCTTGCACAAAGCTTGGAGAAGAGGAAGCTCAGGGATTATCGCTACTGGAAGGAGGCTGTAGCCGGGGGGGTTGGTCTCTTCTCCCAGGCAACAAGCGACAGGACATAGAGAGGACAGCCTCAAGCTTTATCAAGGGAGGTTCAAGTTGGACATTAGGAGGAGTTTCTTCAGAATGGGTGATTAGACATCGGAATGGGCTGCCCAGGGAGGTGGTGGAGTCACCGTCCCTGGGGGCGTTTAAAGAAAGACTGGGCATGGCACTTAGTTCCATGGTCTATTTGACGTGGAGGTGTTCGGTCAAAGGCTGGACTCGATGATACTCCAACATAAGTGGGGTCTGTGAATCTGCCTGGGTGGCGGTGTCGCCGTGTGTCCGGGTGCCACTAGATGGCACGCACCTCCCTGGCAAGTGGCTCCACACACCGGGATCGCGGTGAGAGCCGGGGACGCTGTCGAGTAAACCGAGCATTCAAACACACGTTATTAATTTCTGCGGAATAATCAATACAGACCCGCGCTCCCGACCTACAGGAACTGCATTAGATATCCAGCATCCTTTGGAATGGATAACTTATTTTTAGAAGCTTGTCTTTGTTTATTCTGTCCTCTTTCTTGAAAAAGAAAACCACACAGTTATTGGGTAAAACCATACTCTTCTCTGAGATTCAGACAAGAATTTAACTAGGGAAACTAAGAACAGTGGAGTCAATATAGTTTTAATGTTAAAAGTTTTTATTCTCTTTGTAGATATAAATTTTATGTATTTATTTATTTAAATATATATAAAGATAATAAACACATTAAAATCTTTTATTTATATATGTGTTTTGTATAATATTCTTTCCTTATGGAAAATGTCTGCATTTGAAATTGTTTTCTGGGGACATCCTTGGGAATTTGAATGATTCATGATTCTTATACCTTGTGATAATCATACACATTCCTAAACATAGTATCATGAAGAAGCATAAAAAGGTATATTGTTATAATGGAAATAATTGTAGTATTCCTATCACCAGGTGGATCTTTTTTATTATAAATACTGCCTCATCCCAAGTCTATGGATTTTCATGTCATCAGTTTCACTGAAGTGTAGCCACAAGTCCATAGATGATTTATATCTAAGCCTCCTACACACAGCTGGGAAAAACTGAAGCTGTGTTTTTACACTGTAGTTATGAAGACAGGCAGAATAAAAGACTGTAGTAATAATTATACTAAGTCAATTTCCTCTTTTCTCATTGATCATTCCAAATCTGTTAGGTCCAGGGAGGACTCTTCTGCTTTTCCCCCTGTTTCTTACTTAATTGCTTTCATTTTCTGTTATGTTTTCTGACTATAAAAAGGCCTACATATCAAAACTCTTGAAATCTAACTTCTGCATAGTTTGGGAATGTCTACTTTTAGCATCTTGGCTCCAGCTTTTGATTGCTTTTCAAAAACTGCATGAGAGAGGTTTGTCGATGCTGCATTTCAGGTAAGGTGTAACACCTCTGTGTGTTTATTCGGTTCTGAAGACTTGGATCGTCTCTGCCTGTCCTTGGCTGATTTCCTCTTCCACATCTTCATCCTTTTTTTGCTGAGTCTTTCACTGAGTCTTGTTACAAATGTCAGCAGGCCTGGAATTTATCAGTCCAGGAATAAAATTTAGTGCTGCCTTCAGGGCAGTAGCCAGTGCTGAGGAGAAGTGAGCCAACACAAAGTCAGCAGCCGGCCTGATTTGCACAGAGGTGATGCTTCCAGATGGCCACCCAGAAGAGGCTCTTTGAGAAAGAAGGTGCACTGGGCCTGAGAGGAGAAGCAAATTATTTCTGTAAACAGAAAAACACTCTGACAAGTGCAGTATCAGGAAGCATATCTTTGAAAGAGTAATGGACAGAGATGGTCAAGATCACAAAGGACTTGTAGGAAGTCATTATAAAATACTAGTGCCATGCTGAAAGACATGTTGGAATGAATTCCCTACCATATTGGAGGAACACTACTTATAGTCATAAAAATATAAACCAGTCTGTGTTTTATGTCTGGTTTTGTTTCTTCATTTGAACTGAATATTCTTACACCATATGGCAGTTACTGAATTTTAAAAATATTTCCCCAAAGACAAGAACTCATAAAGGTCCTTCATTCTGTGAAAATTGCAGAAGTCAAGCATAGTTTTATACTATTAGTACTAACACTTTCGTGTTTCATTTATAAACAAATTAATAGTTGTATGCTGCTAATGTGGTTTTCAAAAATAAAAACAAAAGTAAAATCAACCAGCAAAGGTGCCACTTAAAATTAGCTTGGTTTATAATTACTTCTGAAGTAGTAACTCTGAATATCAGTTCAAAAAAGCTTTTATGGGAGTGAATAAATAGATTCTCTAGTTGCTCTTTACTCCTCTACAAACATGTATTTCTATTGCCTGAGGTTAACAACTGCCAGCAGAAATGTTTGCTGAAATAATAAGCAGCATTTAACTGGCTGAGAACATAGTGTGCCAATTCCTGACTTTGTAACTTAATTTCTTGAGGATAATACTGAAGTTTTTCAAGCTATGTCTTCATATGAGATAGAGCAAAATCTTTACTTCATCTATTTTTCTTCCCTGTCTGATAAATACTACATTAAATACATTCAGTTATAGTTTGGATTTTTATGTTGATTTAAAATATGCAGTTTCTTCCAATAAGGAAAGTCCATTATCATATTAGCAAAAGGCACAAAGGTGAGCTGAAATAAATGGCAGCAACCCAAGGTTAGCACCCTAGTCCTTGAGGTGTGGAATCTGTCCTTGAAACGCCAAGTAGATTAAATGTGTGTGTTTTTACTTTAAAGGACCTCGGATACAGTGGCTCACAGGTTACAGGTATGCTCCCATTTGACAGCTCTAACCTTAACAGAGTCATTATAGTTTAAGATGGGAGGGATTTCCAGAAGTGCAGAATTTGGGGAAAGCAGTTGTATTAGTATTTGATCTGTATTTTCAAAGACTTCCTGAAGGTTTTCCTGTACTTCAAATAACTTGTTAGAGATTTTGAGGAGCTCAGCAGCATATTGACATTTGTACCACTTTGCTAAGGGCATGCTTCAGTGTTGTGAATATTGTAAGCAAAGCAGTTTGTTTTCACTATCTTCTGCTAAGAATAGCCATGCCTATAGATTGATGTTTTAAATTATTAGTATTGTCAGCAAAGTTTAACAACACGACTCAATTGAACATGGTGACCAGAGAAGGTAGTTTCTCTATACGCTTTAATTTTTTCCATGTCAAGAACTCTCAACTGATATTCTACAAGATTATTTATGAACCACTTTTAACTTCTATTTTATAGGCTTCAAGGAGGTATCCAGGAGTTGCACACATGTAAGTCATAGAATACTTGACACAGATGAAAGTTGAAATGAAAAGTGTCTAGTCAGCAAACATAAAGGAATTAGATATCAAAATACGGGATTTCTGTACAACTATTTTCTGTAACAAGTTTCATTTTATTTTATCCAATTGTTAGCATAAGTAAAAGTTATCTCAAGAGAGTAACTGTAAAGAATTCTTACCAATAAGTGACTAGAAGGCTTTCTTTCTTTAAATTTGAAAATGTAGTGATGTCAGTGACATGCTAGTACATTTAGTATTTTGATTCCAATATGAAGGTAGTTTGACTTACTGAGATAAAAATATTCTGGGTTGTAAATTTAAATATGCCACAAGTCCTTCATGTGAAGCTCATTTTACGTTTGCAGTCCTATGTTCAGTTACGTAAAAATCTCCACACCAGACCCCCTAGCAA